CTCCCCCCCCCCCCCAGGCCCCTTACTCACCCTCTCCTTGGCCCCCAGTATAGTGGTGGCAGTGTCCAGTATAAGCACCAGAGCCAGGTGACCAGGCTTGCACAGCTCCTTCTCCTCGTGGCCCATGATGACCGTCAGGGCATCCACCAGGATCTGGGGGTCCATCCCCTGCAGCTTACTCTGCTTGTCTCCAATGGGGAATGGCCCTGTGATGGAGATAAAGAATACATCACATGTGTGTGCATGCATATGCATGTGCCTGCATATTTGTACCTATGTTATAGCCTATGACATTTTTCTGTACTATTCCTTTAGGTATGACAGCCATCTAAGTCGCTTAGTAAGTTGATTGCAATTTAGCGAAAATCCCCTCGGAGATAGATTGATTCACAGTTAGTATGAATGGTCCTTACACCTCCCCCCCCCTTCAAAAAAAAAAAAAAAAAAAAAAAAAATATATATATATATATATATATATATATATATATATATATATATATATATAAATAAAGACAAATATATTGTTGTTTAGTATATTACTGGATCAGCTTTATTTCACTCACCTCCCTGTTGTGCAATGGCCACCATAGTGTAATGTCTGACCATGGATGCCATGAAAGGTAGCACTGAGGGACGCAGGTCTTTAATTGCTGCAGCAACTGAAACATTGAAATTAAAGTCTCATAAAATGCATTTCATTTCTGAATGAAATGAATGAAACTAACAACTCCTAGTATGCAATTTGATACTATGAAATCTAGCTCTCATCAAAAGCATCCGAACCATCTGTGAATAAAACTGACATCTCATTAAATGCAATTTAACTCTGTTAAATCTGACTGTCATTAAAAAAACATCTGAACTGTCCGATTATAAAACTGGCACCTCATAAAATCCAATTTAACTCCATGAAATCTAATTCTCACTCATTAAAACCATTTAACTCTCACTGAATGAAACTGACATCTCAAAGTATATGCAATTTATATTCTGAAATCTGACACTCATTAAAAAGCATTCGAACTTTCCAATTATAGAACTGAAATCTCATAGAATGCAACTTAACTCCATGGAATCTGACACTCATTAAAAGGATCTGAACTGTCCATTTATAGAACTGAAATCTCATAGAATGCTACTTGACTCCATGGAATCTAACGCTCATTAAAAAGCATTTGAACTGTCCATTTATAGAACTGAAATCTCATAGAATGCTAATTAACTCCATGGAATCTAACACTTATTAAAATGCATTTGAATTGTCTGTTTATAAAACTGACGTCTCAAAGAATGCAGTTTTATTCTATGAAATCTAACACTCATTAAGAAGCATTAAAACTGCCTATTTATAGGACTGGCATCTCACAGAATGCAACCTAACTCCATGAAATCTAACACTGTCTCATTAAAAGGCATTTGAGCTGTCCGTTTATGAAACTGACGTCTCATAGAATGCAACTCCATGAAATCTAACTCTAACTCATTAAAAGCATTTAACTCTCCCTGAAAGAAACAGACATCTCAAAGTATGCAATTTAATTCTATGAAATCTAACTCTCATTATAAGCGCTTAAACTGTCCATGAATAAAACAGCCATCTTATAAAATGCAATTTGACTCTTTGAAATCTAACTTTCATTTAATGCAGCTTGATTCTCGCTGAATGAAAACTAACACTCATCATTAATGCCACCCAACATTTCCTAAATAATATCTTTAAATATCAACATTAAAGTTCTAAATAAAATTCCTCACTTCTTCTCTATTATTCAACCCCTATGATATCAAATTACAGGGAAAATTAAGGCAAGATTGAATTATGTGAATTATATAATTAAACAGATAAAAAATGGTACAATACCTAACACATAGTTACAGATTCTCACCAGAAAAAGAGACTTTTTACTTATTCATGTTTTATTTGTTTATATTCACTAACCTCATTAGGGCCATGGGGAAGACAAATTATATATTTACCATGTTTTTAACCTCTATAAATAAATAAACAAATTAATTAATTAATTTATTTATAAAGTTTAATTAGCAAATAGATAAATAAAATAAATAAATAAAAATAAAATAAATAAATAAATAAATAAATAAATAAATAAATAAATAAAACAGGCTGAGCTTACCAAACATTCCCGTGAGAGCCTGTTCCTGCACACTGCGAGCATGGTCATCCTGGTTCCTGTATTGTGACCCTGGCTGTAATGCTATTTCACCCTCGGAGAAACTGAAAGAAATAACGCACTGACTGGTTTTAAGTTTATCACAACAGGCTGATAGAGGTTATCAAATTATAATCATGTTGTTAAAGGTAATAAAAAGATTTATATTCAAATCTCCCCATAAAACAAGTTTTTCTATCTATTTTACAATATGCATTTTACTGTATTTATATATTTTGATATTTTTTTCAAGAGCTCTTTTTATCAGGCAGCTTATTTAGCATCAATATATATCCTTTTTATTGTATAATGGAACAGTCTGAGCTTGTTGGCTTTTAAAAACATGAAAACCCTCCATTTACCTTGAATGCGTGAACAGATGAGTCAGCGTCTGCTTGTCGTCATCTAGATTCAACATGGCCACCAAAAAGCACTTGATGACCTCCCAGGACTGGCGCCTGTAGTGGGAATCAGTCTGACTAGACTTGAGCGCATTCAGGGCATGCTCTATTACCTGTGAAAATGAGAGAATGATGACGATAAAACCACTAACTTTTTGTACAATTTGTGGTCGTGATGAAATTGGTGTTGGCACTGGTAATAGGGATAGTGTGTGTGTGTGTGTGTGTGTGTGTGTGCGTGCGTGCGTGCGTGCGTGCGTGCGTGTGTGTGTGTGCACGCACACACATTGGCCTGTGTGTGCAGGCATGCTTATTACAGCAACAGTCAAAAATTATTTATCTATGATCGTAGTCCATAAAAGTGTGTGGGGGTGTGTATGCGTGCATGCGCCTGTGCATTACAGCCACTATATAAAGAGACAAAATAAGGAAAAGATTCTTCAATGCAGAATATATAACTGCGCAAATATATATAATGCCTGGAGCACAAACAAAAAGAATGGTAGAAAAATAAGGTTATAAATTAGCAAAGTTTCTCAAAAAATATGATGAGAAAAAGAAAAAAAATCATTTATTTATCCCATTCCATTTCACTGATTCCAAAACAGCTATTATGGGCAATGGAAGATAGCAGGCAGAGTATATGGGCTATTCTCTCACCTTCTCTGCAGGTAGTGTAATGGGAGTCTTGCAGTCTTGGAAATAGATACTAATACTGGGCCCAGCTGTCTCTTTCTCATTGTAGTTTAACTGAATAAAAATATAATATATTTACACAATATATTCACATATAAGATTTAAACAACCGATTTGATTTTTGGTTTAGGAATTGCTTTTAAATTATAAATCTCAGCCTTGATATGAGAAATCCATATTATACACTTTGATGAGCAAAGGCAAATGGACTCCATGTTAGTAGTGACCAAATACACAAAATGATGGTCAAGATAAAAATTCAAACTAATATAAAAGATTTGGGGAAAGGAAATTTAGCCTACCTTTTGTGCTTCTCTCAACATTTTCCTGTTACCTCCCCCGAATTTTCCTAGGACCCTGAATGCTACATGGGCAATGTTATCCTGTGGATTGCGTAATGTTCTCCACAATGCCTGGGGGAGAAGAGAATAAAAAACAATTCATTTTTCATAATTAAAACTGATTATCAAGTACCTAACTGGAAAAGCTATAACTATTAATTCTGTGCCAAAAACGTTTTCATACTGACACAAAATAGTCTATTTTCAATTAAAAGCAAAAATATCAAGTAGTTGAAATATCTTTCACATTGGTCCAAAAGTATTCAATCTTATTTTAAAATGAAGATGCTCTATTAATTCAGCAGTGTCAAACAATGATATGCAAACCCATGTGACTCACCTGCATCAGTTCTGCCCTCACAGGCTGTATGTGGTCATACAGAAAATCTGGCTGTAAATTATCAACACACAACTCCAGAGTTCGTAATCCCTGAAAAAAAATTAGTGTGCTTTTTATCGCCTTTTTCTTTCACAGATATTTGAGACAATGTCATGACTATTAATGTGATAAATGAGATAATATCAAACCAAAAATGTGAAAACTGATATAAAGCCATAGTCATAAATGTGATAAGTAAAATGTCAAAACTGCCAATATGATGACTAAGATAATGCCACAACCAAAAATCTGATAACTGTGATATTGTCACAACCACCAAATTTTATGTAATACTGTGATTTTGTCACAACCACCAATGTGATAACTGTGAAACTGTCACACACACACACTAATGTGATAACTGACATCATATCCCAACCAACAATCTTTAAACTGAAACAGTATCTACTTCAATGTGAAAACCAGCAGTTCATTAGTCGACATAACATCATAACCATTAAACCATTAACTAGTCCACAAGTCAAATATGGCGTGACCTGCTTAAAAGCGTGCTGAGATGTAATTTCTCTGCCCCTACTGGGACGGAGCACATGGGAAGCAGTAATCTATTATTATATGCCTGCTATATTTGATCCCCAGACAAGTTAGTCTGCGGATCAACTGGTTCTGAATGGGCCCTTTGAAATCAAATCACAACCAATGGCTTTTCTAATTCAAAGTAACATGATCAGGCCCTGGTTTCACAATAAAACTTAAGTCAGGTTCCCTGACTAAGAACTTGGTTACCAATGTTACATGGTCACATGCACACATCTTACCCTATCAGGAACAGTGTTACAGCACTCTCATGAAAATTCTAGTGAACTAAGCCAGGGAGCTGAGTTAAGTTTCTATTTTATTATTATCAATACTATTATTATTTTTTTTTTATTATTATTTTTTGTTAAACTGAGGCCAGAACCTACCTGACTAACTAAAGTCTGAGAACCATTGAGTGCGGAGACGAGGGGATCCATCAACATGGGGAGGTATGGGAGGAGAGAGCTCAGTCTGACTGGGACAGTGAGACACAGCTCTACAAATAGATCCTTCATGTGCTGCTTGTGTAGACCACTCTGAAGGCTGTTCAGTCCTATGGGAGATAGAGATATAGAGAGCAAATATTAAGTAAAATAATCATTCATACACACGGGGCTGAGACTTTTTGACTTCAAAAAAGTTGGAAATCTGCTGACAGATCTCATTATGAAATCTTTTCAGCACCAGTATCACCCAAAGAGTCAAAAATCTGCCAACAGTCTAACATATCTCATCTCTGTACACATTGACTGAGTCAATTTTGAGGTCAAAGCTACTTGATAACAGGTCCAAAAGTCATGTTTCACATGAAAATAAAAACAAATTTACTTCCTTTAAAATGATAAACTTCTTCATATCTAAAAATGATTAAATTTGCCTAGTAAGGCAAGATTTAACACAAAACAAAGCAAATTTTCAGTATAATACAGCATCCATTATTGTAAATGAATGAACAAACTCTCCTATTTACATAATCATCTTATTCACTTTCAGTAAACACATAAGTCCAACAAAAAAGGAACAATAAGAACCTACAGACAAATATTATGAAAAAAAATCTCACATTAATCATTTTATCGTTCATAAATCCTGTACATCAGAGCAAAAAAAGATAATCTCTTACCTTGGAGTAAATTGGGCAACAAGGGAAGGAATTCCTGGTATAGAAGATCATGGCTTCCCCCTCCAATGGACCTGAATAATGCTCTAAGGAGAAGAAAGTAGTTGTAAGGCTCCTTGGCAGTCATGGCCAGCTCCATGGACTTGTTCACTATGGTGTGGAGGTGCGGCTGGTGACAGAAAAAAAACAAAATAGAATTCAATTCATGACCAAGGATTACTCTCACAAAGCACAAATTTGAAGGTCATGATGTCATTATTAATCAATGTGCATTTAACCTATGTATCTATTATTTGTGAGCGTAATATTAATGCACAGTGCTGTGCAATTTCAGCACATGTATATGTCATTGTAGACAGTCAGATTTTCAAGTTTACATTGACAGGTGTCTAATTTTTTCTGCCAGAAGACAGTCAAAAATAGAGAATAGATCAGCAATGGTTATATGGAAGACTGTCAGAAAATATATCTGGACAACACAGTCTTTTACCCTAATGTAGTATACACAACAGCAGCGTAAATGATATTTTAAGATAGCACTGATAATACATTTAAAAGAAATTAATAAAAAATATGATCCTGCTATAAATGTCAATTCTCACCTTCAGCATCTGTTCATTCTCTGCAGCAAACAGAGACACTGAGCCAAACACCAACTTGAACAGCTTCAGGTACAAATTAGACCTTTCCATGTTGGCTAGAAAAAAAAGGAAATGAGAGTAATTATTTTAATACTGTACAGGATAAAAACTAATAATTTAATAATATTATATTAATAAGGGAATGATCTGTATGTAAAATAACAACTATGGCAAACACTGAAATTGTACCCGTGTCCTAATATCTGACAAACATTATTTCAGACATCTTTATCATCAAAGCATATAAAAAATCTAAACCAATCTTTTAACCATAGCACTACAAATAATTTACAATGGCGCCTTTCTTGCTTTCCATTGTGTTTAAGACCCCATTCCCAGAGATTAGATCGATCCAACTAGATCGACCTAACTCCCTGGGGATTCACACTAAATAGCTGGCAGCTGAGAGGGCACGAAAGTTAATTACCCCCTTACAGCTTGTAGTAGGCAGGACAGACATTTAAGCCGGATTATCTGACAGTAATCTAGTGAGACTCCCCATGGGGATAGATCAATCTAAAATCTATGGGAATACGCCCTAAATCCTTCAGTGGCACCCCTTTCAAGCAGGGACAGGGCTAATACCTTATCTGCCACACCCTTATTGCTCCTTTGTTCACCCCCAGGCTCATGCCTTACAAACCCCAGTGCCATACCCTATAGTGACACCACTGTGCATTGAAAAGATGTCAGTGTCAGTGGCGCCACCTTTTAAGCAGGGCCCACACTAATGCCTTTTCTGCCATACCCAACTTACACTGCTGTACATACATATCTGTCAAAAGACACCATACTCACAGCCCATTTCCTCCAGCCTGACTAACAGGTACTCCACCAGGATTCCTGTCACAGTACCATACTCTAGTTATAGACATGATACTTACAGCCCATTTCCTCCAGTCTAGCTAACAAATAATCCACCAGGATTCCTGTCACAGTACTATACCCTAGTTATAGACATGATACTTACAGCCCATTTCCTCCAGTCTGGCTAACAAATAATCCACCAGGATTCCTGTCACAGTACTATACCCTAGTTATAGACATGATACTCACAGCCCATTTCCTCCAGCCTGGCTAACAGATACTCCACCAGGATTCCTGTCACAGTACCATACTCTAGTTATAGACATGATACTTACAGCCCATTTCCTCCAGTCTGGCTAACAAATAATCCACCAGGATTCCTGTCACAGTACTATACCCTAGTTATAGACATGATACTTACAGCCCATTTCCTCCAGTCTGGCTAACAGATAATCCACCAGGATTCCTGTCACAGTACTATACCCTAGTTATAGACATGATACTTACAGCCCATTTCCTCCAGTCAAGCTAACAAATAATCCACCAGGATTCCTGTCACAGTACTATACCCTAGTTATAGACATGATACTTACAGCCCATTTCCTCCAGTCTGGCTAACAAATAATCCACCAGGATTCCTGTCACAGTACTATACCCTAGTTATAGACATGATACTCACAGCCCATTTCCTCCAGCCTGGCTAACAGATACTCCACCAGGATTCCTGTCACAGTACCATACTCTAGTTATAGACATGATACTTACAGCCCATTTCCTCCAGTCTGGCTAACAGATACTCCACCAAAATTGTGGCAAATGTGGCGGAGGTGGTCAGGTTGGCAAGGAAGGAGTTGGCCACGATCTGCAGCGCATAGTTGTTGTGGATTCTTTCTACCATGTACTGAAAGAAAACCCATGCACTTAGATATATTTGTTTTTATTTATTTATTTTTTGATATATTTCATCCAGGAAAGTACATATAAATAAGTATAGTAAATGCACACTCATTTTCTCTCTCACACACACGAATATACGTTTATATAGTCTCATGAACAATAGGTGAAAAAAAATCGATAAAATAATGTATTCAACTAAACATACAATACATGAGGAAACAAGAAAAAAGTGCAATATTTTATTTTGCTGAAACAGATGAATACTAATTAAATTTTGATACATTTTATCGTTGTTTTCTCTATCTAAATAAGTCTCTATAAATAGATACTGACAACAGCAACCTGATTTGGGAGTGGGGGAAATCTCTTGAACAAGAAGAGTTGGATAATACACTGACATTATGGAACTGCCATAACATTACTAAATGACAGAATTAGGAATATTGATAAATATTAAAACTAAGATAAATTTCCACTATATAAATAAAGCAGATTAAACATGTCAATTAAGTTTTTTCTAAGTTTTCCAAAAGTTTGTCTAGTATAGTAATATACAGACATCCAAAACATAAGGTAATATGAAATACGTAATAATGAGAGTGTATATGATTAGACCCATTTCCTGTATTCTTTCTTTAACACTGCACATACCTCGATGGTTGCTGAAAATATTTCCTTAAAGGTTAGAGGGTTCATCATCGTGAACTGAAAGAAAACGATGTAAATGACTCTCTGACCGTATTATCCTGGATGTCACACACATTATTATTAAATATAAAAAGAAACTAATTTTAAATGAAGAACAAAATCCACAAAACACTCCTTTTACTTTAATTTCATTTGATATTAATGTGGTGAATTGAAGTAATTGGGAAAGATCTATGAAGCTAAATATGAAAAGCCATCAATAAATAAAATGATAAACTTAGGACTGACCACGCCAGCAAAGTGTTCTAGAACCTCCTTCTCTTCTTTGGTTCTGACAGTCTGGACCCTAAAAAAGAGATAAAAAATGGCTTTAAATGTACCAAAAAGAAAATGTTTCTTAAATTTTCCCCACTAAATTTGCTTTAAGTTTAAAAATAAGTTATGCAATGCATTAAAATAGTTTCTCAACTATAGCTGCAATATATGTATGGTATTATCCATGCTTTTTCAGAATTACAAAATTACCTTAAAAAAACCTTATAATGCATAAAAGTTTCTTTAAAATAAGTGAATTATATTTACACTGCAGGTCTAACAAGAAGTCTTCTCAAAAGCCAGCTAAGGATTTTCTTAACACCCAAAAAATAAAAAATAATTTTGAAAACTACCCTTGTCAGACATAAAAATGTTTTTTTAAGATAAGTGCCTTTTATCGTGATAATAATAAGCTATACTTACGCTGCAGGTCTAACATAAGTCTGCCCAGAAGTTGTCTGAGTCACCGTATATATGTCCACCGCCTGAAGAGCGTACTTCACCAGTCTCACAAATACCAAGGTTTCCTTGGGGTTGAACAATTTATTGCTGATGAAGTTTGCATCTGAAACACACAAAAAAAATCACAATTCATAACACAATACATCTTTCAAATATGACTGTAGTGAAAAATTTTTTCCTGCTAATTGTCTCCATCAATTCTCCTTACACTTAAAAAATTTTGAAATATTTCATAATATGATTCTCTTTCTATACTGGAAAAAATATAATGACAGCACATTTCCTCATCTTTCATAACAAAAACTGGCAAAAATATAAATGATATTAATTAAATGAATGAATGAATGTGTGAATGAATGAATGGATGAATGAATATGTATGATAAGGTGGCAGTGGCTCAGCTTAGTACTAAAAACCTTTATCATATATGTACAATACATGCCCCCCCCCAAAAAAAAAAACAACAAAAAACAAAAAAAAAAAAATCAATGAAACAATATAAGGTTATCTATTCTAAGAATCATTCCAACTCACCCACAGTGGGTGCCTTGCAGGAGATGGTCCCCCATGTGATAGTTTTGACTCCACACACTAAAGTCTTCACAAGACTGCGACAGTCAGCTGCCGTGTAGTTATTAGCAGCGGCCTGGGATGCAGAAGTCACTGCTGACACCAGGGTTTTAGACTTAAAAGAAAAAAAAAGCAAACATTTATTTCATATCTTATTGCTAGTACACACATCACCCTAAATCAACTGATAAGGTGCTTAAAGATAACACAATATCCAATTATTCAATCTAGACTTTTGCACAGTCATCAATGTAAAAATACAAAATGGAAAAAAATAAAAGGTCTATTCACATCTTAAACTAACATGCTAACCAATGAGTCCAAGTTTCAGATCCAATGTGGGCCAACTTCTTCATTTTCAAATTCCCACATTTGCCTGCCTCTTTTATACAAATATATTTGAAAACAAAAAAGGCAGGCATGCATCAGATCTGAAGCTGATTATATTTTAAAATAAAACAAATGAACACTAAAATAACCCTAAACATTGTTAGAATAATGGATACATTAAAGTTTCTGTAACTATGTAATCAACAATTGTCTACAGTACAAATCATGAATTCAAAAACAAGCATTTATTTAATATAGATCAATACACATAAATGTGATCCAAAATTCACTTAAACAGAGCAGCTTACATCTTTGTCTCCACTTGGGGTCTGAGGAGGCTGGGGTGGGGGCATCTTGACCTCTTCCTTCACTGCAGCGACCTCTAGGGAGTATTTTCCTTCGGGCACCTTTCCTTCCTGCTCTGTTTTACTGAAAATATTTCAACTCCAATATTCATAGCCAGCAACATGCTTATTGTGAAAAAAATATTTCTGCTGAAGGCTTTATGTAAAAAAATATTTCAGTAATTGAAGAGGGAGTACGTAACATTTTCTTTTAGGAATCCGCCATAACTTGTAGGGTTAAACTTTAATTTAAACAAATTACTGTGAAAGACGTAACTTTGGTACAATGCATGAGATGTGAGTGTTTCAGGCAACATGCAATTACTTATTCAGCCACGTAGTTTTTTCTAATAATTTTGAACGCAAGCTTGCAATCTGTGTCCTCACACAAAGAAATGCCACTTACTGCTTGGCTAGAATTGCCGGCAGCTGGTATTTGGCTATATGCTTGAATTTGATCACAAACACCTCTAACATCCTCATCAGTAAGTCGCGACCCTGGAATAGCAAATAATGTAATAAAAATAAGTGAAAGAAGCCATTTGGGAAAGATAAGCGAACCTGTCATTAAACTGCAAAGGAGGACCGAGATTTATTATTTCACTTATCTCGGACTGGCCTCTTGAGCAGATTACTAGTTTTTAATAATACCCACCATTCTCCTGATCACAATACCCACATTCCCATTTTCCTGCTCATAATACTCACATTCCAGTTCTCCTCCTCACAATACTCACATTCCCATTCTCCTGATCACAATACTCACATTCCCATTCTCCTGCTCACAATACTCACATTCCCGTTCTGCTGCTCACAATACTCACATTCCCGTTCTCCTGCTCGCAATACTCACATTCCCGTTCTCCTGCTCAGAATACTCACATTCCCGTTCTCCTGTTCACTCTTCTGTTTGATACACTCCACCAGGTTCAGCAGGAGTTTGCAGGACATGGTCTGGATGCTGCAGGGCAGTGACTCATCATGGACGTTCTTAGAGAACAGGTTGACGGCCAGAGACAGGTCAGTCAGTGGCAGCGCAGTCCTCACATGGTGTACTAGATCAGCTAGAGTACTGTATGCCAAGGGTCTGGGAAAGTAAATAATAATAATAATAATAATAATAATAATAATAATAATAATAATAATGTAACTTCAAAGGACCATATTGCTACACACTGTGAGAATTCCACACTGAAGTGTTTGAGATTTTTATAGTCTTGTTGACACCTTAGCTCATGAAAATAACAGTGAACAGTCTAAAATCTATCATTAAATGTTCATTCGTCATGGCCCTACTCGAGAAATCTATGAACCTACATGAGCAACTCATGAACCACCAGAGAGATTCATGAACCTATCTCAAAAATTCCTCAAAGTACAGGTCTAAAAGGGGCCTTTCAAAATAGATGATCCGAGTACTAACTGATCCACCGACTAAATATGGCAGACCCCACTTCATAAGCGATGCTGCTGATTCCTGATGGTCTCACGCCTCCACACAAGCCTTTAAACAGATTAAATATTGGCTCCAAGGTTTTAATTGCTAGGCCCCTGCATCTACAGTGCATGTGGAGGCTGGGAGGTCATCATGGAATCAGTGGCATCGCTTCTGAACTGTGGTCGGCTATATTTAGTCATGGGATCAGTAAGTATTTGGATCATCCATTCTTAATGGGGCCAAAGATTCACGAGCAAGTGCCATGAGGTTTACAAACCAACTCATACCTGAGAGATTCATGCGTGGTCCAACCACTACCTATCAAAACTGTCTCATCAAACAACTTGTCTATGTGGGGGACAAAACCTGGAATCATATGAAAGATTTGACTGTCAAATTAAAGGGATAATAACTCTTCGTATGAGATCTATATTTCATAATAAAAACATTGTGAATAACTCATAGAAATAAAATATATTCTGTTTTACCACAAAAAAACGGTAGTTATAGCTATTATTCTGATATCTGAGCTTGTCTTTAGATCACCTGACCTCCATTGATGGCTATACTCTGTTAAGATCTCTCTTAAGAGATTTTAACAAAAAAACCAAACTTTTTAGAAAAAAAACAGGGACTAACTTTGAATGTGAAAATGGATTCATTAACGATTGGAAAGTATGGGGAAATTATTGTTTACTCCAGGAAAATTCATTTTTTGGCTGAAACGAAGAGTTATTATCCCTTTAACCAGACTCTCAAATAACAGAAAGCATTTAGTAGTCACTATTTACAGCTGAATTCTCAATTCTCATCTTTTATATTTTGGTTTCACCTTTTGAATGGTAAATCATGTTATTGGTTGACTGGTCGCCCCTGATATTTCAAAATTAAAGGCACAACTTATTATCAAGCAACACCAATGCTTCCTTTCCTATAAGAAATTCCATTAAGGATGTGTTCCCCTAAAATTGATCAGCAATAGACAAGAAAGGACAAGTGAAACACTGTTTTATTTTCTCAATATGATACTGAATTAAAGAAATCAGGGACAGAGACTATTTATTTAACATTGGAAATAGTGACAAATTTTATTTAAATATAATACTCACGATTTCTGAGATCGGTGGCAAGAATATGCCTTGCTGCTATCAGAAGCTCTTTCCTGAGGTGAGCCACTTCCTGGGGACAAAGGGTTAACAATCCCAGCATGCCTTTCACTAGCTGCTGAGAGTGGGAACTAACAATTTCCTGGAAACGAAAAATAAATGTAAGACAAATCAATTCTTTTCGAATGTGTTTCTACCAGTAAACTAAGAAGTATCATAATTTCCATCAAAATATTATTTTTAATCTGACTAATTAATGTTAAAAAATGAAATTCCAAAATAGATCACCAATTAAAATATCTTTAAAATTCCCTGATATCTACAGTTGCGTTTTATCTAAGAATTTCAAGCCTTTCAACAAAGATATAGTTACAGCATGTTTCACAAAATATTGGTTAAGTACCTGGTAAATTCGGATGATGTAAGCTAAGAATGACAGTGTCTTGATCTGGGCTGCGATGAAATCAACAAATACTTCCTTGTTGAAAGCTGGGTTGGTTCTAAAATAGGAATAATATTTCTGTGTAATAAAATTCTAAACTTTCGAGATGTAGAAACAAATGTGACCTGTTTTACATATTTTCCAAAAGCTAACACTAAAAACTGAAATTCTCAAAAGAGACCTCAAATAAGTAAGAATGTCTGCATTTAAATTAATAACACAATTTATTGGGATTAAAATATATTAGTTGTGAAAGAAGTGCACAGTGAACCCACCCGTGTTCAACTGTTGTGCAGACAGCTGCAGCACAACAGTATTCATAATCAGAATGTGTTAGTTGTAACAGCAGAGCACAATGAACCCACCTGTGTTGTCCAGACGGCTGCAGCACAATGGTGTTCATAATCAGAAGAATGTGTTAGTTGTGACAGCAGAGCACAATGAACCCACCTGTGTTGTGCAGAGGACTACAGCACAATGGTGTTCATAATCAGAAGAATGTGTTAGTTGTGACAGCAGAGCACAATGAACCCACCTGTGTTGTGCAGACGGCTGCAGCACAATGGTGTTCATAATCAGAGGAATGAACTCGGCCACGTCCTGGTGAACACTCTGTTTATACAGTTGGTACATCAGCACCACTATGATGGGCAACTCGGCCAGCACTTTCAGGGACAGCACCGCTCTTGGGATGATATTATACTGGAACAGAATTGCAATAACAGAATTATATGTGAGAATAGGACTTAAGCAAAAGACTGAGACATTGAAAAATATGAACCCAGAGTTCACTAACCTATTGATTCATTAACTCTAAATGAGGATCCAGGACTATGCAAGGATAATAATAATAATAAAAACCCCAAGTGCACTTTTCTTAACCTAAGTCAACACATTAGAGAGTTTAATCATAAATAAAATAAGAAGAGGTGATTAAACTGCCTCACTCCGAAGATTGTTTTGCTATTTTTCAGCTTTGCCAACTTGGTGCATCATTCACCATTTGATGAACCATAAATGTATTATAATTAAACACAGATCTCACAAAAACAAATTAGAATCCTTTTAAGGACTTCAATCATGCAAAACCATATACTAAGACTTCGTTCAAAAAGCTTGGTTATATTCTACTATATAATCTCAAAGGGGAAGAGAAAAAGGACTGCCACAACTCACAGAAATGGGAGAATTGTCTGTATTTTTCTTGTCCGTCATGATGGTGGTGATGGTGTAAGTCTCCTGGAGGAGGGCCTCCACATTGACCTCTGACATGTCCTTGACCTTGATTTGAGGTTTGGGTTCAAAGATTTTCAGGAGATGGTTTGGCAAGTCCTTGTAGATGTTCTTCACAAACAGTAAAAAACTCTGAATCTGTAATGGGAGAGAATTTTTTTAAAAATTTGATGTGACTATTTTATCACAAATCGCTGTCTGAAATTTCAGCCTAACAAATTAACAACAAAAAAAAAACACACACATAAAAAAGTTGACCCGCCCTCCCTCTCCCCCAAAAATAAATAAAACAAGAAATAAATAAATAAGTAAATAAATAAAAATGGGCAAATTCTTAAATTAAATGAACAAACATAACAAAGTTGAACCTCCCCCAAAAAATAAATACATAAATAAATTAATTAATAAATAAATAAGTAAATAAATAAATAAAAATTCTCACCTCTGAGTTCATCTGAGGTCGGTACTGCTTGTGAAGCTCAATTATAACACGGAGACATACCAGCACATTTTCTTCATTTTCAATCTGAAATCCATTTTAAACATTTTAATTCAAACAGAATAATACAATTGTAATTTTAGCATAATGTAAAACAGCAACAGCCAGCAACATAGATTTTTAACAACAATAGCTGAAGTCTCTCTGTTATAGAAAATAAAATATGCATCGTTTGTATCGATTTAAGACTAAGACCCCATTCCCTGAATGTAATTCAGCGAGAATCCCCTAGGAGTTGGATCGATCTTGCTAGATCGATCTAAGAATCAGACATGAGCCTAGGTTTTTCAAAAAAAAAAAACTCTGAAAATTTATCATGGGACTCAACACCTAACATTGACGAATCTCAGGAACCATCATAATTGAATTAAAAAATGCTGAATTCCCTTTTCCACGGAAAAAGCTCATGTCTGAGGTAAGAGTATGGGGTCTTAGTTCACATATATTATCAAACATTATGTTAGCACTATGCCATTGTTCAAGTGACCCATAAAGTGAACCATCAGTATCTAAACAAGGTCCATGTGAAATGAACTTGAGAAAATGTGTATACATACAAATTAATAATGAAGATAAGTGCACTTACCTCAAGCAGTTTAAACATCAGAGACAATATGCTCTTGACATAAGGCTTCAGATGGTCATTGGTAGGAATCCTGTGTATAATCTCCAGCAAGAGCTTCCGGAGTTGCTGAAATGAAAAGAACAGTG